TCTTTATTTACGTTTAGGTAGTGTAGTTAACCTCTAATGTTTACAGTGCAGATACACTACAGATGTATAAGCTTGTAAACTTAAATTGATGGATAATTTGCACACAATGCGGGGAATTGCTCGATAAGGCTAGGAAAAAAGGTTAAGATGAATTACATACATAGTGCTATATTCGACATGACTATGGGTTTTGTCGTCATCAGCAATATAATAGTATTCTGATCGATTCCGAGTGTTAGTTGCAAACATGGATTATAGTAAAAACTAGAATAATTATCAGATAGAAGTGAAATCTCGACAATAACGGGGTCGATATCGTGCAACAGCGTGCGGCCATCCGGCCATCCGCTCTGATTGACAACGGCGTGACGTATCGACGGACGAACCGCTTCTCGCGACCGCTGCTCCATGCTCGATACAATCGCAACCGCAAGAAATATGATACAAATCCAATTCGTTTCTATTAGGCCAAGATGCGAACGCTATTACGAATCAATTGCCAATACTGCCAAGGAGAATGTCGTATTAAGGCTGATTCAGTTTACACCGTGCCGGGGCCGGGCCTTGCTCCGGAGCACGGACTCGGCCCGGTCTAACATGAATAAGTTCATATAAAAGTAAATAGACATATGACCGTACCACAGCCTTTAGACGGTCTAATGTAACCTACCCGGCTGTTAGCATATTTTCTGGAAAATAGGGAGGGGGCGGCTTACCTAAGGCACTGGCCTTACAGAGAACCGGACAAAAATCGTGCAAACGGGCTGATCTGCGGCTAGGACCTGACTTAGGTGGTACCTGTGCGGGCTCGCTCGCACAGGTCATAGTGCCCTTCTCGTATACTCCTAAGGGTCGATAGGGAGGGTCAGTATAATCAAAACTAATGTAGAAAGATATGGGGCTGTTCGCATATTTACATCATAATATTATACTTAATTGTTCTTTTAACGAAATTTTCAAAATGTTAAGCTGCTTGATTTACTTTTACAGATGATTTAAAATAATTTGTAGTAATAACACATAAATATTAAAAAATGGTTAGGTATTTGCGTTAATCGATGAATAAGTACGTTGGAATGTAATCCACATTTATGTCAATATTATCATCCAAAAACTTAAGTGTTCAGCCTTTTTATCTATATTGCTTACTCCACTCGTTGAGAATTTCGTACAAACTAAAACTTGGGCAATGCCCCAGCACTCAGATGCTGAATAGATGGTGCAGGCAGCGTGAACCATCTCTAATTCACTTCGCAGTTTTCCCGCTAGAAACTCACACAATTCTTACAAATTGATGTTCACTTACAGTTATAACAAAACTAGAGTTTTACGTATCTCGCGATAGCTGAATGGGTGACGAACCACCAAGTGTACTGTGACAAGTCTCTGTGGTATGGATGAAAAAAGTTTGTAATTATATAGTTTTATTATGGCAACATCATACATGAGGTATGAAAAGAGTGAAGTGTTTTTCCCGGCACTAATCTGCCAGATAATAGTGCAAAAGCGTGTAAATTTTAAGAAAATGATGTGAAAATCACGCAACAAGTTGCTCCCACGTACAGTAACCGCACTTTATGATGGTAAAAAATAAGAGCGTTAGGCGTTCGAGATTGGTGTTCGAGCTTCTGACGCGTGATGATATGTGACGCGACGCGGCGCAAGCGCAAGTCAGGTGTTTTGCCGGCAGTTTTATGAACAACGCTATGAATGTTTTCTTTATGGGTATGAATAAACTTTCATTAAAAAAAAAACTATCCGTAACTAAAGAATTTTAAATTGTTATGAAGTTGCATAGAGTGCAATAAAAAATTGTGTTTACTTCATTTTTTGTGTTATCTACAACGTTTTTGCAATTTAATACGACTTCGGTAATCGATATGATATGGTCTGCTACGTTAGTTTATTGCAAGTACATAATATATGTATGTAGGTATTTAATACCATACAATAGGACCATTGTTTTCGAAGGTCCTGCTTATGCAAGTATGATAGCCACTTATATACATAGTAACTATGTAAACAATAAGTCATATAAGTATATATTGCATAATATAAAAAAAATCTAAATCGTTTTACGCGCTCAGTGAGGGTTACAATACGCGATTGTGTACTAAGCCTAACGTCGTTTCATACAGTCGATGCACTTGGATGCAGCTCTTATAACGGCAATTATCTCTTTATGCAACTGCAGACTGCAAGTTTGCATTCAAGGTCAGTTGCAATATGGACGGTCTCTCGATTTTGCGGTTCACTTTTTACATCGTTATACTCCGTATTAAAAATAAACTGTCAATTATTTTTTAAGCGTTGAGCTCCTATAGTGTCTTAAATTTTATTGTTCCTTTATTGTGCTTTTAATTTAGTCAGGATAGAGTTATGTTTGTCCGTAAACTCGCCTAGTGGAGACTAAAGACGTGAACGAAAATGATATTAAGTCCTTAAAAATATCCACATTATAACGTTCGGGAAATAAATGAGAGTTCAACTTTTTACTGACACGCGTAATTGACTAAGAAGAAAAACAGTTCGTTCTAATTCACGGAATATCTTATCTACATTATTAGGGTGAAGTCCTGTGCCAATTCGATTAATAAAATAAGTATTTTTTTTAGGGTTACGTTTGAGGTAGGATACGCTAAAAGACCTAATACCTTTCAGCGTATTCCATTTCAAACGTTATTGATATACATTCTAACAAAGATTTACATTTCCGGAAAACTTTACAAGAATAGAGAAAATTCATAATAATAGAAAAAAGTAATTTTCCAAGTTTGTATGTTCCAAGAATAAATTCAAAAAGAATTTAAAATTCAGGAATAATCATATGCGAGATATGCTAAAAGCACATTTCTAGTAAATGTTTCCAATTTCCTCAGGAATCCTAATAACCTGCATTGACCTAGAAATCTGAACTGTCGACCTGACAACTTGGTCGGAACTTTCTAGTGTTCCTGACAAAAGGAATTCGGGAGACATTCCGGTTTAGAATGTTTGCTATCAATTACATGATTACACATGGATAGATGGCTGATGTAGTAGTCGCGAAGAGACTGGAAGCAGAAGGCATGGATTGATTAGAGTGGCGCCTTGGATAGCCTTGGAGCCAACAACGATTTTAAAAATTTATACCATTATACTAAATTATAGTAAAATCGATTATTTTCACATTAATTTTGGCAGTAGGTATAGCATAAAGTATGTACCAATTATAAAGTTTTTTAGTTTTCTTATTCCTTTTTTAATTCGATTAACCGTGAACGTTAATTCGACACAACAGTTGCACACTTTGACAGCTTGCATGTTCTCTTACCATTTAAAAATTAAGACATTTTCCTGGTAACATATATTAGTTTTTTTGGAATACGTATGTTGTGTATCATAAGAAATTTCATTTTTAAAAGAGATCAAAATTAGTTTTAATTTTTTGTATCTACCTCAGTGAAAAACCTTAACAAATGAAACCATATAATTATGTCCATATCAACAAAACATTTAGTAACACGTTTTTCTTCAATCCATAGTCACTACATGTTTAACATGTTACCAGGTGAATTAAGTAGAAGTACAATAATAAATACGTCATGAAAAGAAAAAAAAACAAAGCATGTATGTAACATACAGTGTGTGTCAAATTAGTGTGGTTATTCAATTTTTACACTTAACATTTAAATTCAACTCTACTTGTTATCGTAAGACAGTCCAAAGTGTAAAGCTGAGTATTCGTGAGGCATCCTCGTAAGTTACGAATAAGGATATTCTCATGGATGAATATATTTCTCATAATACCACTGCACAATAAGCATTGTTGGTATAAGCTATATATTTTTCACAAATCAAATAAAATAAAATCAAATCAAATCAAAAGAATACAAATCAGTATACATTTCTTTACATATATCTGTATTATAACCATGTGTTTCGATGAATAAAATATATATTTATGCTCACGTACGAATAATAAAATTTCAATGACTTGATACGAGTACACGTGGGCAATGGCCCATATTCATATATTTGGTATATTTGACCAAGCTCTACAGGTTTACTTTTAATTCAAGTTCCGGTTTTGAAAGATAAGGGTGCTGGTGAAACTACAGGCACATGGAACTTGTCAACGTATATCTCATGGTGACGGGCGCAGTGGCAGTGCAACGTCTTCTTCTTTGTCTTTGTGATTTAAAACTCCGAGTGACATTGCAACTGTTACGGACAAGTGTCGTTTACCACCAGGTGCACGACTTGTTCGTCCAGTCATCTGATATTATAAAAAAAAAAACCTTTTAAACACAGCATTTCTATACGTTTTGGACAAACAACTTAAATTCCATTTATTTCCAAAATTGTGTCGACGTCCACTGGAACCTTGCATCTTGCAGTGATTCATCGATTTAGTTTGACATATTTAACGTAAAAAAACTAGTGTGATATTTCAATTATTAAAGAACAACATTTGTTTGTTTTAATGATAGGAATGCGGTGGTTACAAATAGCCATTTTTAGAGAGAGGGTGGCTGTAAACAAAATAGCCCGTCCACAATTCAGCTGGATATCGTACTTGTGAAACTAAGCCATACAAAATTGAGCGTGCACATTTTGCAAATAATTTTTGTTTTGTGTTTTGAAAAAATTGACTGAAGTTTTTAGTTTACATAAGTACGATCACCAGGTCAAACGTGATCGTATTTTGTTATACCTACCCAATAAAACAAAACTACGCGATAAATCGATCTAAAGATCCAAAAAATAATTTCACCTCCAGTGAGTAGCAATCATGGAAAAAGTTGTCTTGCATTAATTATCCTATTTATATGCAGTATTATTGCCAAGTACTCATGGAAATAGAATATAAACCAGGAAAAACGCACTAAAATTACTAAATACCTTGCGTAAAGTACGTGATAATAAGGTACTTACAGTATTTATTAATTATAATTAATGCTATTTTTTCTAGGGACAGTGATAGAATAGCTGCACTTACAGCACTAAAACGAACTTACCCAAAAATTAGGGATGTCCTAAGTGCAGCTGCAGTAAAATTCGATGTCGATATTAACCAAAATAACACATCCACTTATCATAAACTTTATCGAAGTCTGTTGAAATAGAGGTTACCGGCATTTCCCTCTGCGCAGCGCGAAACGAGCGCGCGGCGACGTGTTCCGACACATGTGAAATCAGCTGTGGCTCTCGACCGGCTAACGGAACGGCCCTCCCCACCCACGCCGTCCCTGCCAAGACGTATCTGCGGTTGCCTACCTCAAGAAACCTCTGGCCAAGTATGCACTTCACTAACCCATCTTCCAATCTAGCGCCAAGACCTTCAGCAAAAACTAAATTTGCATAGGTACTTCCAATTCTAGCTCGCCCAGATAAGCTCCAGATAAGATAATAGAAAATTATTTATTTACAGATAAACACAACAAATGTCTTAAACATTTGGACAATTTGTTATTTGTGCGTGACTTTATTGGGAAATCTTATAGCATTTCATTTAACGTAAACTTCGTTCACATATATATACGATAAGATATCATGTAGAAACATGCTTTACACAATACGTAATGACGTCTCTATAAAATTTAAAATGAATTATGGGATGGGCAGAGTTACAGTGAAGAAATCTTTTCAAATTTAGGATGTCCACTTGATTGTACGATGTTGTTTTATAAACCACTAAAAGCGAAATTCTTAGAGCAATATCAATATTAAAGTACACTTATTATTGTAAAAGTTGCGTAGTTCAAAAGTCAATTTTTCTTCTGAATTGAAGCAAGAATATAAGGAATCCTAAGTTCACCGGTAAGAATTTTCCTTTTTTTCACTTGTGTATGTGCAATATGTATTTTTAAATACGAATTCTGTTGCGCTCCCAATTAATTAGTATCTCACAGTTTTTCCTGTAACCCGAAGGTTGCCTGGAAGATATTGCTATATAGAAATAAGGCCGCCTGTTGTCTTTCTAATTTTTGTATTTTTTTGTATTTGTCCTAGTGTGCAATAAATAATATTTGTTTTGTATTGTATTGAATCTATCGAAAAGTATAAAAACGTGCTTACATAAACTACTTTTGCATTACTCAAGATGATAAAATAGCGGCTCTTCCAAATGGCAATTGGCTATGTCGAATTGATTACAAGATTAATAAAATAATTGCTGCAGTTAGAGTTCCTCCACATTCGTATATTCGACCATCGTTTCGTGTCTTTATGCAATTATTACATGTTGCTTAGAATTTTATTGAAATTGACAAAACTGTATATCTACTTGGAATCGTAACTTGTAGAGCTACTTCGTGTTTTCTATTTTCATTAATTAGATTTCATTGTTCAAAATACTTGATATGTAAGAAATTCAATACTAATTGCATTCTTTGGTTGTAATCGCATATACGTCGTATACAGCACTAACACTGCTATTCAGCAGTTAGTTTATTTTACGGTTTATCCATATTTATTCACACATCATCGTCTACCCATACATAGTACAGTAGGCCCATTGCCAAGCACTTATTTCTATTAAGGAATGGGTCTTAGGTCGTAGTTTGCCACACTTTATACGGGTAGGGATCTTCTCATCATAAGAAGATCCCTTCCCGTATTAAGCGTGCAAAACTACCTCATATCGATTGCGGTCCTTCTCAGACATGCTGATTTCATTACGATTATTAGCATGTCAATAATAAAGGCGAGGATAAAAGATAGATATAGGAAAAAAGAGGGTAAAATGACATTTGCCTTTAGGCTAATGTTCAACGGGACGTTCTCATGGTTTCATCTCTTTATTTGCCCGATTTTCTTATATGGCAATCAAAGCCAAAAATACATAACGAGCGCAACGATTACTTTACTTTTGTATGAGAAAACGTTTGAGCAGTGTCGTGATCTCGAGATTCGAGTACCGAATCCACGGCTAATCCGCTTTGCTCTACTAACGGTCGTGGCTCTTTATTAGGGTACTGTTTTATGGGAAACGGTTAGCCCTAATATGGTAGTTCATAATAGTGAGAAGGAAATGTTCTCACACTAAATGATTCGTTATTTTTAATCTTGGTAGGCTATGAATAAACGTCAAGCTACTCAAGCAAGTATGACAAGCTCATTATGCGAGACATCCAAATAATGCTCTATTACGCATTTTTTTTGCTGCAATTCGTAATTATTTTAGTCACGTAGTAGGAATAATACCTTAGTTGTCAAAATGAATGTTATCATTACGGAACCAATGCTTTACAGTGCGTATGGTGTATTACCACGACGCGTGACCGCGACCAGATGCTATCTACACAGTCACCTTGATCTTTACTCAAATTTGTGGACACGAGGCTCATTGATACTGTACTTAAGACGACGACTAGAGTACTAGAATTTAACAGTTGCTCGTACATGTCCACATTATCTTAAAGTTTATAGCAACAATTTTATATAAAACCGTCAATGTATTAGTTTAGTTTTGTATTGAAACCTACTAAATGGATTTGATTAATACGGTCAATAGAGTACCACGCGACCTTCTACTTGCCTTTTACGCGGCATATTGTCAATGGTCACCTTCAATTTTATTTTAGAAAAATAAAATCGGAAAAGATTCACCTTGAGTCAATTAGCGCCAGTCGTAGTTAACTACATTTATTGCGGCAACAACTGGTAAATAAAGAAGTAAATAACGCGCTAACTAATTAGTATTGTTTTACCCACAATACATGAATTCCGCATTACGGAATTGATTAATTACTAAACGGTCGGTGCGTATTACTCGAAAAACATTTTGCGGACTTTGTTTAAAGACATTGTAGGGCATTCATATCTATCACGGCATTTCCTAGGGAAACTAAAGCCATGGGCAATAATCTTGTAGAAATCGGTCGAACTAGAAATCTGACGTTTATAATATGGTGCAGTTCAATAATTCACCGCAAATAGCTTTTATCTACATGACATAGACCAAACATAGACCACTGGGGAATTGTGAGCGGTGCCCAAGTATGTGTAGTGTTGAGTTACTCATAATCGAGGCAACTCGTTTGTACCACTCGCTTGATTAGTTTGTCACAACACCTCATGTCATAAAAATGTCCCACCTCACACCTCACCTCATATCATAGCCTCATGTCACAGCCTTACTCAAGTCACACTGCTTGAAATTCAACAAATGCAACAATGGTTGGTCCTGCACTATCCGCTGTTTAGCTGATTCTACATCATATGATAATACTACCACAGTACTAAATGAAATTAGCATTTATTTATACTATATCATAGCATTTCAGTTATTGATTAATATCATTATGTTATAAAAATGTGCTTAATATTCCCTGTTTGTTGAGTCATTGCCGTAGGTGCAAACATTCTTACCACTACTGCACTTCATTTGAAGTAGGACATTGTACCGCCTCATTTTTTCAAATGAGGTACTCCCTCAAACTCATTTTAATTTCGTGTCCTAACCAACACTAAGTATGTATAGTGATTCTAATTACATTAACATAATTTGATTCAGTCTACATTTCCAAGTAAAAGATAAGAGAAGCTATTATCTTCCAATAGACTACAATGTATAGTTTTCGCCTCATATTTATAACAATTTTGACCCCAGCAAAGTTACATGTATTTAATGAAATAACAATTGCTAAACGAATACCGTTTTAACCGTTAAATAATATTTAATATATACGTTAAACTTCAAAACATTGTTTTCTTGACATAATAAATGATAATTTTGTTTTAACTGACAATATAATTACATTACATTAGAATGTAATTAGTCTCATCACGATGGTAATTATAATGTGTAAATGTGCCTGTGTATCTGTGAGATCTAGTTATCTGCGTTTACGCTCATCACACATAATTAATATTTTAATGACCGGTATGAGTTGACGTTGCGTGTGAGATGTTTTCTTGTGACCAATCGAGCGAGAACCAGCCTCATATTTTAAACTCTGGAAAATTGATATCTGACACCAAAAATGCAACTTTAATAATTTTAATTGATCGATGAGATTTCCATTCGTTACTTGGTATAAATAATTTTTTGAAATCTTTTGATATAGGAAATGAAACTATTTTTCCGGATTTAAATCGCGTATATTTGTTTTTTCAAACAAACCGACGTTTCGGGCCGTTTACAGGTCCGATGGTCACGGTTGACTGAGGTGGTACAGTGTTCAACCAGTTATGTCTAATATTGATGCAAACCACCCTATTTTTTCACTATAGTTACAATAGTTATTAATTAAATTCCTTATTTTTACTTTTACAAAGAAGACATTCAAATTATTGTATTGAATGAATTTTTATTAAGTTCGTTTTATTATTGATTATTAATAGAAATTAGAATAAACTAAAACATATTAATTAGTATGCATATTAAATAGTATATATAATGCAGTCTTATGTCTGTAATACTGGATCCCAAACTGGTGGTACGGAGAAACCATCTTTCCTGTGGAAATTAGGATGTTTTTTAATTTCAATGGCCTCTCGCAGCATCCTGGGTAGATAACGGACTTCTTTTGCAAGGACCTGGGGGTTTGTCAAAATTCATTGAATGTGTAGGTTTATCCATGACATGCTCGCAGACTGCAGACTTGTTTACGCGACGGTGGTGTTTGACATCAGCTATATGTTCTTTGACGCGGGTACAAATACTTCGCTTTGTTTGTCCAATATAAGAGAGACCGCACTCACAGTCAAGCTTGTAAACTCCTGCATCCTCTAAGGGGATGTTACATTTCACGGGTCTCAGGAACTGACAAATCTTCCTCAGGGGCTTGAAATAGGTCTTGATAGATGCACGCCTGAGGACTCTTCCAATCATGTCTGTAACACCTCTCACGTAAGGTAAGATGGCAGGTCTTGGTGGTTTCACACGGGGCCTGCGGGATTGGCTAGGAATCTTCAACTTATTCACATGTAGGACTTGCTTTATGTGCTGAAGTTCCCCTGCCAGATGATTACTGTCGCAGACACCATGTGCTTCTTTTGATATTTCTCTATGAAGAAGCAGTTGGCGGCAGCTACTCTTGGAAATCGCACTGTAATAAATATTTTTAATAATAACGCACACACTCAACATAGCCCCGCACTAGGAAACCCTGTATCGCGGGTGCGATGGACACACACATAGACATCTACATCATCGAACCTAG